TCCTGGAACTCACTCTGTAGACCAGGCTGACCTCGAACTCACAGAGATCCGCCTGCCTCTGCCTCCCGAGTGCTGGGATTAAAGGCATGCGCCACCACCTCCCTGCAGTATGTGCTCTTAATCACTGTTCCTGTGCCCTAATTTCTGAAATTTTCGCATTGCCAATTGTGCCTTGGAGAAAACAGCAGCATCTTCGTCTTTGATGGTCACACTCTTTACGAAATAAGACCTCTTGATACTTCCGGTGAATCTTTCTGGTCTGTGCACTTTTTGCTCTCCTTGCGGCCTCTGTTCCGCTCATGTTCCTGAGGCTCCTCCTCCTTCTCTCCTGACAGAATCTGGCACACTGAGCTCTGTGGTGCCTCTTCTCCAGAACTTACAACATGGCCGTGAAGGACGTGGAGAACTCTGGGGCAGAGGCTAAGAACTTGGGTATTGTGGTCTTGGCTTCCCATGTAGAGCTGAAACTTTTTGGAAAAGTCGGGTCTCTGAGGAGCCCCTACTTGTTCAGGAAAATGGGGATAATGACCCTCATTTATGCCGATGTTGTGATAACCAAAGACGTGGGTGGAGGTAAGCATGCTTTGTATATTAACAGCAGTTGCTGTGTTCTTAACCCACACACGGTGTCTGTAACCTCTGCCCCTCAACCTTGTTTGTGTATGCCTCCCCCCCACCATTTCTGGAAAATAAGCTGTCCTGAAGGATTCTGCAAGCCACATACACTGTACAATTCTAGAGAAGGGTGACTACGCGTAGAAAAAATGGTGTGAATAGGGTGTCCTCTAACTCTCTAGTGATTTTCTTTTTATCTCCTTATATTATGACTCTCACAGGCCCTAGCTACTTTTCTCTGTCTGGGTCCCTTTCCTCTGAAGGAAGGAAAACCTAAAACTTTTATTTTCCACCTGTGTTGCTGAAGATGAATGCAGCTGAGGCAAGCTAGACCCACGAGTACGTTGTTTTTCTCTTCCTTATAATCCAAGTTATTAACAGAAAATATTTTTGCGACCCCTAAAAGAGCCTTGAAGCCCAGTAAGACAGGGTTGGCTGTGCTGCTTAAAGCACCCTGCAGCACAGCCTTAATCAGAAAGCTTTTGATCACATGATCTGTGTGCGCGTTTGAACGATGTAGTGTTGCAGACTGTGGCATATGGTTCTTGGCTTCTAAGGTTGGCACAAGGAAAACGGAGGTTTCAGGAATCCATCAGAGGTCACTATCGTTCAAAAACGTCTATAACAGAGGCAACACCATTGCAAGTTACTCACTGTAATGTTTATCAATAAATTGTGTGTGCCCGTGAGCAGTATTCATGGCTGAGGATATAAAAAAGTCTTACGGAAGTCACTCTATAAAGTCCTTCTTTCTTTCTTTTATTTAAAGAGACTGCTGAGACGATATCATTTCCTTCATCAACAACACAGACGACATCCCGTCTGACGACCACACCCAACATATCCCATTCCAGTGTCACCAGCACATCTCAGATGACCTCAGCCATCTCTACAAATATAACTTCAACTAACACAGGACACACATCAATAATGGTTACCCAAAGTTCCAATCCAGATACCACACGAACGTCAAATGGACCTCCCACCACAGGGACAACATCCAAAATCTCTGGAAACACAGAGACCTCCAGTGAACTGCAAACCAGCACCCTCACAGATGTGACCACATCAAAACCCTCAGCCTCCCAAAGTGGCTCTACCTTGACACCGACAGTGACTCAGGGGACATCCTCTTCAAGAGATTCAACTACCTCAGCTGCCTTCAGTGTTGGAAGCTCACCTACTATCACTTCACAGGTGATCACCACAAACACCTCCACGGGCTCCACCTCAGGGAACCCAGGGCACACACAGGATACTCAAACCTCTGCACCAGCAACCGCAGAAATCTCAATGACATCACCACAGAAAGAGTCAACAGTGTCAACACTCACAACCTCAACTCAGGAAGCGTCAACATCTTCTCAGAATGACCACACTGGAAGCATGGATACGAGCAGCAGAGCTCAAAGCACCCCTCTCACAGAGGTGACCACATCAACTCTTTCCTCTTCCCCAAGTGGCTCAACTCCAGGACAGACAGAGTCACATGGGGCCTCATCTGGAGAGGCAACAACCAATCCATTCACTTCCAGTGTCAGTAACACAAACACAGCCACGTCAGAGATGCCAGCTTCAGCACCCTCCACAGACTCTGCCTCAGCAAATACAGGGCACACATCTCCAGCTGTTTCTCACAGTTCCACATCTGCCATTACCACAGTGTTAATGACAAATTCACCAAATGTCTTGTCAACGGTGACATCTCTCATCACCTCTAATCAAGAATTGTCAACATCTCAGAATGGCCACACTGGAACCATGGAGACCAGCAGCAATCCACAAAGCACCCCTCTCACAGAAGTGACCACATCAGCTCTTTCCTCTTCCCCAAGTGGCTCAACTCCAGCACAGACAGGGTCCCAAGGCACCTCATCTCCAGAGGCGACAACCAATCCATTCAGCTCCAGTGTCAGTAACACAAAACCAGCCACATCAGAGATGCCAACTTTAGCACCCTCCACAGAGTCCACCTCAGGAAGTACAGGGCACACATCTCCAGCTGTTTCTCCAAGTTCCACATCTGCCATTACAGGAATCTCAATGACAAATTCACCAAATGTCCTATCAACGATGACAACTCCCATCACCTCTAATCAAGAATTGTCAACATCTCAGAATGGCCACACTGGAACCATGGAGACCAGCAGCAATCCTCAAAACACCCCTCTCACAGAGGTGACCACATCAACTCCTTCCTCTTCCCCAAGTGGCTCAACTCCAGCACAGACAGGGTCCCAAGGCACCTCATCTCCAGAAGCAACAACCAATCCATTCAGCTCCAGTGTTAGCAACACAAACCCACCCGTGACAGAAATGCCAACTTCAGCACCCTCCACAGACTCCACCTCAGGAAGTACAGGGCACACATCTCCAGCTGTTTCTCACATTTCCACATCTATCATTACCACAGTCTCAATGACAAATTCACCAAATGTCCTATCAACGATGACAACTTCCATCACCTCTAATCAGGAATCATCAACATCTCAGAATGGCCACACTGGAACCATGGAGACCAACAGCAATCCTCAAAGCACCTCTCTCACAGAGGTGACCACATCAGCTCCTTCCTCTTTCCCAAGTGGCTCAACTCCAGCACAGACAGGGTCCCAAGGCACCTCATCTCCACAAACAACAAGCAGTCCATTCACTTCCAGTGTTAGCAACACAAACCCACCCAAGACAGAAATGCCAACTTCAGCACCCTCCACAGACAACACCTCAGGAAGTGAAGGGCACACATCTCCAGATGTTTCTCAAAGTTCCACATCTATCATTACCACAGTCTCAATGACAAATTCACCAAATGTCCTATCAACAGTGACATCTCCCATCACCTCTAATCAAGAATTGTCAACATCTTCTCAGAATGGCCACACTGGAACCATGGAGACCAGCAGCAATCCTCAAAACACCCCTCTCACAGAGGTGACCACATCAGCTCCTTCCTCTTCCCCAAGTGGCTCAACTCCAACACAGACAGGGTCCCAAGGCACCTCATCTCCAGAGGCAACAACCAATCCACTCAGCTCCAGTGTTAGCAACACAAACCCATCCGGGACAGAAATGCCAGCTTCATCACCCTCCACAGACAACACTTCAGGAAGTACAGGGCACACATCTCTAGCTGTTTCTCAAAGTTCCACATCTGCGATTACAGGAATCTCAATGACAAATTCACCAAATGTCCTGTCAACAGTGACATCTCCCATCACCTCTAATCAAGAATTGTCAACATCTTCTCAGAATGACCACACAGGAAGCATGGAGACCACCAGCAATCCACAAAACAACCCTCTCACAGAGGTGACCACATCGGCTCTTTCCTCTTTCCCAAGTGTCTCAACTCCAGCACAGACAGGGTCCCAAGGCACCTCATCACCAGAGGCAACAACCAATCCATTCAGCTCCAGTATTAGCAACACAAAACCAGCCACATCAGAGATGCCAACTTCAGCACCCTCCACAGACTCCACCTCAGGAAGTACAGGGCACACATCTCCAGATGTTTCTCAAAGTTCCACATCTGCTATTACAGGAATCTCAATGACAAATTCACCAAATGTCCTATCAACGATGACAACTCCCTTTACCTCTAATCAAGAATTGTCAACCTCTTCTCAGAATGGCCACACTGGAACCATGGAGACCAACAGCAATGCTCAAAGCACCCCTCTCACAGAGGTGACCACATCAACTCTTTTCTCTTCCCCAAGTGGCTCAACTCCAGCACAGACAGGGTCCCAAGGCACCTCATCTCCAGAGGCAACAACCAATCCATTCACATCCAGTGTTGGTAACACAAACCCACCCAAGACAGAAATGCCAAATTCTTCACCCTCCACAGACTCCACCTCAGGAAGTACAGGGCACACATCTCCAGCTGTTTCTCACAGTTCCACATCTGCCATTACAGGAATCTCAATGACAAATTCACCAAATGTCCTGTCAACAGTGACATCTCCCATCACCTCTAATCAAGAATTGTCAACATCTTCTCAGAATGACCACACTGGAAGCATGGAGACCAGCAGCAATCCACAAAGCACCCCTCTCACAGAGGTGACCACATCAGCTCTTTCCTCTTTCCCAAGTGGCTCAACTCCAGCACAGACAGGTTCCCAAGGCACCTCATCTCCACAAACAACAAGCAGTCCATTCATCTCCAGTGTTAGCAACACAAACCCACCCATGACAGAAATGCCAACTTCAGCACCCTCCCCAGACTCTACCTCAGGAAATACAGGGCAAACATCTCCAGCTCTTTCTCAAAGTTCCACATCTGCCATTACAGGAATCTCAATGACAAATTCACCAAATGTCCTATCAACGATGACAACTCCAATCACCTCTAATCAAGAATTGTCAACATCTCAGAATGGCCACACTGGAACCATGGAGACCAACAGCAATCCTCAAAGCACCCCTCTCACAGAGGTGACCACATCAACTCCTTCCTCTTCTCCAAGTGGCTCAACTCCAGCACAGACAGGGTCCCAAGGCACCTCATCTCCAGAGGCAACAACCAATCCATTCAGCTCCAGTGTTAGCAACACAAAAACAGCCACATCAGAGATGCCAACTTCATCACCCTCCACAGACTCCACCTCAGGAAGTACAGGGCACACATCTCCAGATGTTTCTCAAAGTTCCACATCTGCCATTACAGGAATCCTAATGACAAATTCACCAAATGTTCTGTCTACAGTGACATCTCCCATCACCTCTAATGAAGAATTGTCAACCTCTTCTCAGAATGGCCACACTGGAACCATGGAGACCAGCAGCAATCCACAAAGCACCCCTCTCACAGAGGTGACCACATCAACTCTTTTCTCTTTCCCAAGTGGCTCAACTCCAGCACAGACAGGGTCCCAAGGCACCTCATCTCCAGAGCCAACAACCAATCCATTCACATCCAGTGTCAGCAACACAAACCCACCCAAGACAGAAATGCCAACTTCAGCACCCTCCACAGACTCCACCTCAGGAAGTACAGGGCACACATCTCTAGCTGTTTCTCAAAGTTCCACATCTGCTATTACAGGAATCTCAATGACAAATTCACCAAATGTCCTGTCAACAGTGACATCTCCCATCACCTCTAATCAAGAATTGTCAACATCTTCTCAGAATGGCCACACTGGAACCATGGAGACCAGCAGCAATCCACAAAGCACCCCTCTCACAGAGGTGACCACATCAGCTCTTACCTCTTTCCCAAGTGGCTCAACTCCAGTACAGACTGGGTCCCAAGGCACCTCATCCTCAGAGGCAATAACCAATCCATTCAGCTCCAGTGTCAGTAACACAAACCCACCCAAGACAGAAATGCCAAATTCTTCACCCTCCACAGACTCCACCTCAGGAAGTACATGGCACACATCTGCACATGTAACGGAAAGCTTTGGTGTCATCACATCTGGGGTGTCAAGCAGTACTCTCACTGGACAGTCAACAGTCCTGGCATACAGCACCTCTACTCAGCCACCATCAACATATTCTCAGAGTTACCAGACCACAAGCATGGCGACCTCCAGCATATATCACACCAGCACCCTCACAGAGGTGACCACAGAAAACCATTCATCCTCGTCATCTGGACCCACTGTGACAGACACCTTTTCTCACGGGACATCCTCTTCAGGTGAATCAGCCACCTATAATACAGGCAAGAGCTGAGGGGTGGTTCCTCATAGTGAATGATGACTAGCCCTCTATTCCTTCTCCCCTATGTGGTTATACATGGAGGCAAAGGCTGTTGGCCAGGATATAGACACACATTTTAGTGGTTTTCCCCGCTCTCATTTTCTGTGACTCTCATAGTCTTTGATGTAAAAACCGCTCTTGTCTTCTCTCCCTCTATTTCCAGGAACGACCACCAGCTCCCTGAAGACAGACAGTGGTAGAGGCACATCCCTCCCTGCCACCTCCTGGACCCTCACCACTCCCAGCTCGACCACAGCCTCCAGATCGACAGCGCCCCCACTTCCTATTTTACCAGAGCAGGGTGAGTGATGCCAATAAAGTAGAGCAGAGCCTCTCTGCCTTCTACCTCAGACAGACAGATGATTGCTAGACTGGATTTGCCAATTTAGGTCCTTGTGTGTAGTAGCTGAGGGATCCAGTCCTTGGGGTTCCCACTCTGTCCCATCCAGGCCACGAAGAAGCCACCTTTTCCCTGTGCTCCCGCCAGAGGGATGGTGACCGCGTGCTCAGGGCCTGCTTGCTCACAGTCTCTGCTCTCTGGGGTCAGAGATCACAGGGCACAACGAGACAGCAGCCCACCTGGGTGCTGAGGGCTGTTTTGTGCGGCGCATTGGGCTGAGAGACAGAGACAGGGACCCATCAAGGGACAGATCCACCGTTCTACAGATGAAGGGCCAGGAGACTTAGAGACAAGCGTAGAGAAGCCTGGAAGGGATGTGGGAATATGGTCAAGGTGAACAGGAGGCTTCCTGATGAGAGCTGGGGCAGGGGGAGAGCACCCTAGATAGGTCGGATGGTCTGAGCGGCTGGAATAAAGCCCCGGGAGTGAAGAGATGGGCCTTGTGTTGAGTGGGGTGGGAGCTCGAAGCATCTGTGGGAGCCGGGAGTAAGGGCGACGAGTGATGAGTAGGAGGCTGGTGTGTACAAGGACCTTGTGGGTAAGGGGACCAGGAAGGATATGGACTTGAATAGCGGTGGCTGGTATGGATAAATTTGGGAGGGTCAAGAAAGGGGTCAGCGAGGACGCCGAGGGCTATGTAGAGACGATGCTAAGCCAATCAAGGACACGCTTGGGCTCTAATGAGTCGATGCTACAGTATAGAACTTGGAAAACACGTAGGACAAGGTTTCCCAAACTGGAATCCAAGGACATATAGGGTGGCCTACGATAGTTCTGGGAGGGAGTCTTCAGACTTATCTGGAGAAATACCATTTTAGGAAAGAAGTACCTTTTTATGGAAAGGTCTTTAGTCTTCATTGTCTCAGAGTTTCATCTTTTCACCGTTGAGAGTTCTGACATCCCGATCAGAGCCTGTTGATACCCTAACAGCAGGGATGTTATGTCAGGATGCTCTAGCCTGAGGAATGATGAGGGTACCGGCAGAGAAATAAGCAAGGAGATGTGCTAGATATGCATGGAGAGGCCGAGCAAGGAGTCAGGGCCTACCGGGCTCCTTCAGGAAGAGGGGCCAAAGTAAGGGGCAGACCAGGGAAAGCTCACTCAGGCTCCTTCCGGACCTGAAAGAAGGTAAAGGCCCACAAGGGCATTGTTCTCTCCTCTGTCCCGGCCTAGGCATTGCCCTCTTCCCCTACGGGACAAGCCCTCACATTGGAGACCTGCGGTTGTTTGACCGGACTGTGGATTTTACCTCACCTCTCTTCAAAATCCAGATCGGCTTTCCACTGGGCTCCTCTCTGCGGGATTCCTTCTACGTGAGTCTCTGACTGAAATCCTTGTGTGAGCTCTGTTCTCTGGGCCCTGTTTCTCCTCGGAGATGGCCCCTGACTGAGCAGAAGGGAGAGTGGAGGTCACCTTTGTGGTACAACAACTTTGTAGCCTTCCTCTACGTCAGTTTCTAGTTGTGGACAGCTGAGTGAAGCCATGTCTCCCTGGCCATAGGGACAAAAACATCCTCACCCTCGTAAAAAGAGATCATGGCTGTTTCATGAGCCTTTTCATGAGGAAGAATCTATGCTTGGAAGCTTGATTTTTTTCACACCATTTCCATTTCTTGTGATTACTTCCTGATTCCCTGGGAATGGGGATCCGGCTCCACTTGCCCTCAGGGAGAGGAGCAGGAACACCCAACGAGAGCTCCACACAGTAATGGGAGTGAGGGCATTGATTCCTTTGCCCTCTTTTTTTTTTTTTTTTTTTTTTTTTTTTTTTGGTTTTTCGAGACAGGGTTTCTCTGTGTAGCTTTGCCCCTTTCCTGGATCTCCCTCTGTAGACCAGGCTGGCCTCGAACTCACAAAGATCCGCCTGGCTCTGCCTCCCAAGTGCTGGGATTAAAGGCGTGTGCCACCACTGCCCGGCTCCTTTGCCCTCTTCTACATTGACACAAACCTCAAGAGAGGGCGAGGCGCTTTACCACGAAGGCTCCGCTCTGACAACGGCTGGGCTACTCCACGGAGGCAGGACACGGGTCCACTACTTTGGACTGACATAAGAATGTCCTGACAGGGATGAGTATTTGTAAAGTTCCTAGGTAAAGGGTTCTCCTAGAAGGCAAGCAGTGGACAAGGGGACGCCTCTAATCCTCTGCACAGATGGGCTCTCGGCGGTGGGGGGGGCATGCTTCTGAGGAGCTGGCCCTAGGGTGGGGTGATGCTTCCCTCGACCTCCCTAACCAAGAACGCGTGTGCTCAGTTCACAGATAACGGCCAGATCGTTTTCCCAGAGTCAGACTATAGCATCTTCTCCTACCCCAACCCACCTCAAAGAGGCTTCACAGGAAGGGAGCATGTGGCCATGGTGGCCCCGTTCTGGGCCGACGCTGATTTCTCTAGCTCCAGGGGAACCATATTTTACCAGGTGGGTCATGCAAGGCCTTGACAGTCAGGAGTTCCCAGCATCCTTTGGGGAGAGATCAAGGGCGCTTCAGCGGCACTGTATCTCAGCCTAGGCTTGTGTGGGAAGGGACTGACGCTTAAGTAAAGGGGAGGGAAGAAGCCAAGAAAGAATGCTGACTAGACCCTGGAACACTCTACCCCAACCACGTGGGGCCCGCAGGTTACAGGGATGAAGGCAGGCAGTTCATGTGGTTTTAAAATAAAGGTGTAGAGGGCCTGTCTTAACAAGTCTAAGTCGAACAGAACCCCCTGTCCCCATAGCCTTCTGAATTAAGTTAATAATGCCAGCCTGTCAAAGTATGTAGCATTGGATGACATAGCAAATGTGTTTTGTGTACCTGCCATTGACAAGGAGCTATCTACGTTCCAAAGATGGAAAGACACATACCTGCCCTTGAAGATTTACAAGCGAGACGTGGGAATGTACAATTTGACACACATGGTCCTATCATCCAAGCCAATTTGAGCTGAGAGATGCACCCGTTCTATTCTAGAAGGCTTGACTTTCTAGGCGGGGACTCTCTAGTTCACGAGGCCCAGATTTTCCTGCAGCCTAAATTTAAATGGATCTTAAAGTCAAAAGAATTTGTAAAAATTCAGGAGGCTGGGGATTTAACTCAGTGGTAGAGCGCTTGCCTAGCAAGTGCAAGGCCCTGGGTTCGATCCTCAGCTCTGAAAAAAAATTCAGACTTGGGGAGATGTACAAGCAGCCATGGGTACTGCAGCATTTCCAACCAGGAAGCAGGGTCCCTTAGGGCAGTGGTTCTCAACCTTCCTGATGCTGCGACCCTTTAATATAGTTCCTCATGTTGTGGTGACCCCCAAACATAAATTATTTTATTGCTACTTTACAGCCGTAATTTTGCTACTGTTGTGAATCATAATGTAAATAGCTGATATGCAGGATATCTGATATGTGGCCCCTTTGAAAGCGTGGTTCCACTAACAAGGAGTCTCGACCCCCAAGTTGAGAACCACTGCCTTACAGGCATTGAACTGATTTCCTTGCTCTTGCCTACTTTCCCTTTCTAGGAATACAGCACACTTTATGATGGAAACAGTGAGCTCATCCGGGGGGTGGAGGCTTTGATTCACGAGTTCACAGGCGACTGGAGCTACAAAGCCAAGTGGACATTGAAAGTCACCTGGGTCGACGTTCCCACCTACCCTGCCCGGTGGAGCTTTGGGGTGAGTGGACCATGGCTTGCTCCCCGTGAGCCTGCTGGGAGCCAGACATCCCAGTAGGCTCACAGGGAGCCGTCCATGACTGGAGGAAAGATTGCCGGTTATAGCTCCCCTGAGCACATGGTCTCCTGAGTACTCACAGCGGGCCAGCCTGCTTCAAGTCAGAAACCTCAACTGCATTTACAGGCAAGAATGTCTGTGGTCTGACAACTTCATGTGACTTACACAAGTCAGTCACTTGTGTAACTTTACTAATATGAAGTGTCGGCACATGGCACTCAACAGTTCACTGACTACCAACCCTGGGCAGGTCCTTCATACCACACACGTGGAGGAGACACCTGGACAGTGTCCTTACAGATCCCTGGGGGAGAGATAAGGAGGCCTCTCTCAGCTCTGCTGTCTTGTCTGACCTCGCGGGTTCCCGTAGTTCTCTCATAAAAACCATCTCCTAACTGTATTGCAACCCAGAGCCCTTTATTTCCTCTCCCTGAAAAAAAGAAAGAAAGAAAGAAAGAAAGAAAGAAAGAAAGAAAGAAAGAAAGAAAGAAAGAAAGAAAGAAAGAAAGAAAGGAAGGAAGGGAGGGAGGGAG